ATCAATGTGACGAATATGCAACAAAATATGTCACAATGCCCGCAAGAAACAGTGTCCAACGAACAGAACTTGGACAATCAGTTGAAACAAATGCCAAACATTGCGAACCACATGGGCAAGGAGGAGGAAGAAGAGGAGATTACGGAGAAAGCTCAACCGGAGGAGGAACCTCAAAACTTAACTCCACCACCGGCCATTCCTGAAATCATGCCACCATTTCCTGAGACTCTAAGGGAAACACAAAGGGTGGAGAACGACAAAGACATCTACGAAATCTTCAGCAATTGTGAGTATCATTTAGATTTCTCTTCGTTCACAAATATGCAGGGAATAATGGTGGAGTTACGCAAACATTTCATACTCCCTCTTATACCACCCAGATCAAAACCCCTTCGATTGACTATGCTAAGTGAAAATCATGGACCCTCACTCTTACAATATGAAGTGATAGAAATCCGGATATTTGATCCTGGAAAGATTGTCAAAATAAAGGGTCGACAAATTGAGCCTTTCTATAAGAGTCACTCGGGTGAAAATGTGAAGAAGAGGGATCATCACGACCCAAGCCTAAACGACTGAAATTAAAAAAGATGGTGTCGTGCCACGACGTTAAATAAGGCGCTTTTTGGGAGGCAACCCAAGTGAGGTACATCATTGTGTGTTTATTTTATTTTTTTTTCTTTTTCTTTCCCCTACACAACCTCCTTTTCACCTCTTTTCATCTTTAATCTTTCAAAACACCATCCAATTCCACCCCAATCACCCCAACCCTCATAACCATATCCTTCTTTCTTTAAAAAACTATCCAAATCCTCCACCAAACCCCACACACAAAAGAATCATAATCTTATTCTCATCACTTTCCTCTTACTCCACATACCCTCTAATCCATAAACTCTTACACTCACCCCTCTCCCAAACCACAATTTTATATCTTCAAAAAAACCCAAAAAAAAGTGATGGCGATAACGAGCACTAGGGACAGTGCTCCGAGCTAAGTGAGGGGGAGTCACTCATTGGTACGCAATTAATTTTTCTACCTTGTAACTTGCATTATTATTTTTTCACAAAAAAAAAAAAGAGAAATGCTAGTTAGGTTGAAAACCCAAAATGGGCAATCTAAGCAAAAAGGGCTTATAAAAAAATGAGTGAGTTGGAAAGGATGGAAAAACAAAAAGAGATGCTAGGATGAAAACCTGAAAAGGCTCCTAGGCAAAATGAGAGATATGAGAGATATATTTGTTTTTGCAGAACATCATTTAATCTCTTGACGGAAAAGAAGAATAAAAGAGGTGAAGAAAAAAATGAGCATAGAAGGCCATGAAACCCAAGAAGATGTTATTTTTTTTATTGAGCTAAAAACTCAATGTAAAAAAAAAATGTTTTATCCTTGGTGGTCTTTTGCTTTTTCTTGTTGATTGTTGAACTTTTGAGGATTTGGAAGTGTTAAACATTTGACTTTACTCGAGGACGAGTAAAGAAGCTAAGTGTGGGGGAGTTGATATTCATGTAATTTCCGATTGTATGTTTGTATTTTTAACTAGTTTTTATTAGTTGTAGTTGTGGAAATTACACACTTTTGGTGTAATATTTTATTTTCATTTTTATTTGTAATTTGTTTAGATTAGGATTATTCTGAGCTAAACAGGTCAAAGATCATCGAAGGAATCAAGATTGGACCTTAAAAGATCAAGGAAAGTGCAAGGAGACAAGAAAGATTTCGATTTGGAAAAAATACTCATGTACCCGGTCGGGTATTGCCTATACCCGATCGGGTATTCACTTGATTCGATTGTCCAAATCAAATCCGGGAACAAATGATCGTGGGAGCAAATTTTCGTGAAGATTTGTCACATACCCGATCGGGTATGCCGACATACCCGATCGGGTATGCCCAGAAAAGTGACTTTCTGGGCAATTTCCTAAGATACCCGATCGGGTATCCTATATACCCGATCGGGTATCAGACCCTGCAGCTCCCAAAAGCCTATAAATACACCCCTTTCCTTCACAATAAAATACCAATTCACATATACTTCTAAGCTCAGTTTAGACAAGTTCTTTCTTTATATTTTTATCATGTTTAGTCTCCAAATGAGGAGCTAAACTCTTCCATCTTGGTTTTGCTACTTTGAAGCTTAATGAATTTGTAAGTTGTGAGTTATTCTCTTTAATCTTCTTCCTTGAATATTAATTCTTCCTTTAAATACTATTTCTATATCAATGTTGGGGAGTGTTACTAAGATGACAATTAGTTAACATCTTGACATTAGTTATAGTAATAATTATTTCTTCCGCTACGTTAATATTGGGGAGTGTTACTAAGATGACAATTAGTTAACATCTTGATATTAACTATAGTAGGATTCATCTTCTTTAATATTCTTTCTTGAGTATTAATTAATTCCTATTCATATTTTATATTAATATTTTGAACATTACTTAAAGGATCAACTAGTTTTGTTTCATATATTAATTAATACTAGAATCGGTCGATTAATACGCTTGTTATTAATTCGGTCCTTTCATGGTAGTAAACTTGGATTATTAATGCATGCATCTCATGGTTAATAATCTAAGGGGAATTAATTATATTGATTAAACCAATAAACCGCTTGTGTTGAGGTTATCAATCTCAATCGTTTTCATCTTAAGTTTATTGCTACTATCAATTTAATATACGGCGCTTGTTCTATATTGACTCGATAGTAAGTTTTATTAATGAACGCTTCTCGTTATTAATAACTACCCTCGATGAACTGGATATACTCCTCGATTGAGTATTCGAGAGGAAGATAGTTAAAGATATAACCGGGATCGACAAACATTTCATTAAGTGGATAAAAGCAAAACCAAGTCTTCTTCTCATTAATTAAACTCATTTAAGTCATTCATCTTAGTGTTAATTAAATCAAATCAAATCTAAAAACCCCCCTTTGTTACTAGTTAATTAAAAAGAGAAATATTCCTTTCCCTGAGGATACGAACCTTACTTCGCTATACTACGTATTAGTGTCGTATTGATATTTATTTTGAGTGCACCTCACGACAAGTGCACGTCATTATCAGACATTAATATGACATTATCAATTTAGGAAAAAGTATGGTACCCCCATCGATGAAATCCTCCATGTTTTTACTTCAGTTTAGCCACTTTCTTTTCTGCACTTCCCTACCATTTCATACTTGTTGAGAACTATATTTTCTGCACTCTCAACATCGATGTAGTATATTTGGCTTATTAGCAAGATAGGAGAGGACAAGTCATAATACACTTCACCAACTCACATAGAGTTGACATATTTCAACATATGCTGCACACTCATACACCACACATATATTCACCTATAAGGAGTGTATGAATAAATATGAGGGAAGCCATGGCATGTGTAGTGAGGTGTTAAGGGTCTGATTAATCACATTTTAAAATAAGCGCTTCTTGGTTTTTGGCATAAAAAAGCTTAAATTAGTATTTTTAAGTGACAACTTCTACTTAAAAAAACGTTTCTCGACTTTTGGCTGAAAACTACTTTTTACTTTTTCTATTACACAAAAGGCACATATTTTACCAAACACTACCAACTTTTACTTTTCAAAATCATTTTTTCTCAAACACTATCAACTTTTACTATTAATCACTTTTTCCAAAATCACTTCAAAAAGTGCTTTTTTTAAAAGCAAAAGCATTTGCAAACACTCCATAAGTAGGGCATTAGGTATTATTAATGATTTGGACAAATGGTTGGTTGGACCAATAATATATTTAAAAATACTGGTAAATATGAAACCCAGAACTTTATAACACAAAAATTTCCTTGTAAATCAACCCAATAGTTTACCGATACTGATTGCACTAAGCGCTATGCGTATACTTGCAAATAGGGATGGCAACGGGGCGGTTCGGGGACGGTTTTACATATAACCGTACCCACCCCATTTGATAATTCCCCGCCCCATAACCGCCCCATTACCCAACGGGTAATTTTTACCCAAACCGTATCCGCCCCAACGGGTAACGGGTATAACCGCGGGTAACCGCAGGTAATCGCTTTATTAAATGAGTCATTGATATTTTAATATAAAAATAATATTTTAAAAGGCGAAAAAATGGCATCACGGTGACCGGCCCGTGAATTATGGCATCACGGTGGGGGGGAGAAAGAAAAAAAAAAAATTAAACCGGGTGGCCCGAACCGGCCCGGCCCGGTCCGGCCCGGAACCGGACCCGGGACCGCCCTACCCCGGTTCGGGCTCGGGCCTGCTATTACTGAACCGAGGCCCGGCCGGGCCTAGGCCTGAGGCCCGAACCGGCCCGGTTCAGTCCACCACTAGCATCACCTAGATAACTCTAGAATGAGACGCCCCTTTAAAGTTTTGTATATCTACAAGACGAGAAAGAAGACAACATAAATTAATTTGAACCTAAAAAACTTAATCTGAAAACATAATTATTCACTAAAAATATGATAATAATCAAACAAGACTATTAAGATCTATTATGAACTCTCATGGAAACATTATAGTTAGTACATCTATTATCCATATACTCAATGAAAATAGAAAAATCTCATCTTCTATTACTCATGGGACAAATAATAGATAAAAATGTAATAGAAATATAACTAAAATAAACGGGGCGGGTACAGGGCGGGTACGGGGCGGGTAATGGGGCGGGTAATGGGGCGGGCATGTAACCGTAAAAACAAAACGGGTATTCCCCGCCCCATACCCGTTACCCGGTCAATGCGGTTTTCCCCGTTTTGACCGGGGCGGTTCGGTGCGGGTATCCCTTGGATCGGTCACAATTGCCATCTCTACTTGCAAATAAAACTTGACTAAGAATCTAATTCCGAATGAGTATAGAGATGTTTGGGATCTTTTTATCACGCTAAGACTTTTGCATTATCGATTTACTAATATTGAAATTCTAGTTTATTTGTATTGCAATTAGTATTCAAAGCACAAAATTTTCACAAGTTCACCTAATTATCCAATGTACCCTCTTAAAGTGCACATCCATCTTTCACGAACAAGTATATATGAGTTCAAACAATGACTTCAACATAATTAAAACATTATACGGAGTACAATACAATTAGGTTCTTTTTTGTGCTCTCTGTGTCCCATTCTTATTTTCACAATTAGGATTCCAACTAGGGTACATAAAAGTTAAAGTGGAAATAGAACAACTTAGTTTGTAAATTCACTTCAACTTAGTTTGTAAATTCAAAGTGATCGAGTCTGTCACTTGTAGAATTCCATGATCCAAGTGTTGAGAGCACAACAAACCTTGCGAAATTGTATGAAACCAGCATTCTTAGACAAGACCTCAAATTCCTTCTCAGTCCTCTCCCTCCCTCCTGGATTATAAGCCAACATGAGGATATCAGCATGAATCACATTCCTTGTCGTTGGTGAGGTGTCCGGTTCTTCTGGTATGATGGACTCCATGATGATCATTTTTCCATTTTCTGGAAGTGCTTTGAAGCAGTTCTTTAAGAACTTCAAGCAATGGTCGTCACTCCAATCGTGACAAATCCACTAGAAATAAATTGGAAACCACATAAAAAGTTACACTTGCATACATATCATGTTTAACAAGCTAAAAAAACTACTACATAAATGATTAATGGGATGATTTATTGGACAAAAAACTACTTAAAATGAAAAACAAGTTATTTTCATGTAATCTAAAGTTGATCTATTCTAAGGAGTATATTGAACAAATAGACATTATGTAAGCATCCCGGAGGTATTGTTAAGGATGTTTTTACTTGGACTGTAATTTGTCCCAGACCAGACCAGACCAGTCCAGACCAGACCAGACCAGTTCAGACCATACCAGACCAGACTTGGATAGTTATAAAAATACAAAAAAACCAGACCTTACCAGACCAGACCAGACTAGATCAGACTAGACCAGACCAGACCAGCAAATTACATCATATAAAAGACATCCTAAGTCATCCTAGATTGATTACATATACATATAAAAGACACAAACTCACGTATAAAACTTTAAACCACTCTTATCACATTGAGCTTTTATAATGGTACATAACCTTAAATTTTGGGATATTTGATCTTGTACACCACTTTTTGGGCAAAATTAGACATTACACCCTATTTTTAATCTCATTAGTTCACAGACTTGTTAATGAATGCGGTGTTTTCATGTCTTTATATGTGATGCAATTATCCATTTTGCATTTATATGTTCACAAATTTTGCATTTTGCATTTATATGTTCACAAATTTACATTCTTGAAAGTAAGTTGTGCTGCAAATATCAATTTTGCTCAAAAAGTGAGTTACAAAGTCAAATTTTCATTTAAATCTTAATAGCTACTCCCTCCGTCCCATAAATTTGTTCCCGATTTGACGTAGATCGAAGTTTAAGAAAGTGAGGGTAAAGTGGAAATGTATGATTGTGGTTGAGTAAGAAAAATGTAAATGAATGTTAGCAACACATAACTTTTCAAAAAGGGAAATGAGAAGAATTTTTTGGGACTTCCCAAAAAAAGTAAGTGGGGAGAATTTTAAGCGACACAAGAAGTATAACCTTTGAACTTACATTTTGAGACTCATTTTAAGGGTTCATTTTATCTATTATATATGTTTGGTACTAAAATTTAAATAAAAAAAGATCTAAATTTGAATTTATAACTTAAGCTTAACGAATTGCAAAAATATTCTTTGGACTTAATTAAAGGTCAAGCATCTAACTTGGATTATGTTTGAGGTAAGTACTGTTGTTGACATTAGTTGTAGTTAAATGAGTAAGCAATTCAAAGAGATGCTAATTTTACGTAATTATATATACTAATAAACCAATTATAACTATCATATAAATATTAGAAAGGACACCAGAGGGACAATTTGTTAGGAAAATTTATAATTCAGAATCCCTATTTTTATTTGATATATTTAATCAACAACTATGTGAGTTTTATTTTACTTGCATATCATACTTTGAATATTTTTACTAATGTAAAAATAAAATCATACTCCGTATTATGTAATATATTGTCATGTTTGCTTGAGTGTATATTTTTATAAAATGAGTTTTTATTATTTTTACAAATATTAGATTTATTAATTCACGCAATAAAAGTATAAGTTTTTAAGAAAAGAAAATGTGAGTTAATAAGTGAAAGTTCAACTTTTGGCGGCGTAACACTCTCACCCTATAAAATTTAGGATGATACTCTTGAATGCTCTCCAAACTCAATACTATCATATCCTCAAAAATTAAAATATGTCTTTCCGACTCACTCAACCTAAGATTTCTTCTGAACAAGCATACTTAACTCTTAAAATTCTTTGCAAATGTATGCTCTTAAAATAATGTGTATCTTGTTTGTATGAGTAGTACCCTTGATCATTTTAACTCCTTAGGTGTTACATTTGAGACATAGTATTGTCAATACTATATAACAACATCTTAATGTCGGATACTTTTGAATAAACTCTTCACAAATTAAACAACTAATCATATATATGGTTGGTCTAAACTAAAATTGATTGTTGTACTACAAATTTAATAATATTCATATAAACAAACTATTTTTATGTTAAATTATCAAAGAGCAACCTACCTTCATAAAAATGGCATCGCCTTTTGGCACGTTCACGAACATGTCTCCTCCAATATGTTCCATTCCTAAATTAATTAACAATTTCAGATTCAAAACTTTCATTGATAATTAATTAAGCCAAAAACATTATATGTGAAAGATGTACCATGATAAGGAAGTGCATCATGAATAACGTGAGGTAAATCGAAGTTAATGCCCTTAATGTCGGGATATTTAGAGAGGATCATGTTAAGAGTGGCACCAGTCCCACCGCCGACATCCACGAGAGATTTGAGGCCATTGAACCCCTTGTAAATTTCTAAAATCTTCTTCATAGTAAGGATAGAGTGATCAGACATTCCATTGTTGAAAATCTTGTTGAATCTCGGGTCTGTTCCTGGATACTCAAATGCATTCATTCCGTACGCTTTGTTGAAAGGTACCCCACCCTCAAGTATTGCTTCTTTTATGTGATACCTTAAAATGTATGTAACAAGCCATCAACTAGCTCACTTAAAAATAATCTAGTACAAGTTAGTCTTTTTCCTGATGTGAAAAGCTTGTAAATTTTTATAATGTAATTTTCTATTATATCATCGTGGATATCCTGTCAATTTTGAACATCTACAATTCTACATAACTGAACGTATTGGAGAGAGAACTGTATGTGGGAGCAATGAACACCCTACAATTGATGTTATTTAATTAATGAGTACCTGATCTTCAATCTTCATAATAAGTTTATCACTTGTTTTTTAGAGGAGAATTAAAAATTTATAATTCTTTTATCGAAACTTATTTTATAAAGTCACATGCAATTTATATTTTCAATGCATTTCTCTTAAATGAAAATGTGATGTTTAATCATGGCAATAACCGAAAAATGTGACACACTTATGTTAAGATGAGGGGTTAAATATCACTATGTTTGTTCAAGTGTTCATGAATTCACTTCCTCAACTAGATGCTACTTCAAGCAAAATCACCGACCAAATAAAAACCAACAAATACCCTATTTTAGCAGGTTTCAAACATCTTGATATGTTGCTTTTCTTTTTAGGAGGTAAACATGCCCATGTATTCATTCAAATTGCTCAACTAGCAATAAGTGTCAATGTGGTAGTTAACACCGAAAAAAATAGATTTATCAAAGAAATAATCAAAATGAGCATGCATCCGCAGCTTCCTTGGTCCTAGGAAGATTGGCGATTGAGAGGTACTTAACGTGGTCTTCTTTGGCCAGCCACAAAACAGACTGCTTCTTGGCGTGGTCTTCCACTCTTCCTTAATTACCATGGCCCTTGAGCAAGTATATGGACTTATTTGACCATTCGGCGTATTCCATACTATAGATATAGTGGGCAACTATAATGTGATATGTCAAATAGTATGTTTACAAGTTTTTATTCTCTTGATGGTTTGAATTGAAGATTTTATTGAGTGGGTGGTGAATTGAACAACAGAAATTATTGTAGAGACTCATTTGAGACTTTTGTCTTTATATCAAGTTGAACAGAGTAGATGACACATTTGAATACACTTCAAAAGTCTGATATTTATGGGAAATAGACCTAAATGAGAGCAGAACAAGTGCCGGGTAAGTAAACAGGACTTGAAGTTTGTAAACTCGCGTATAAGACTAATTTGTACCTGGATGGACAAATATACCCTCACGTTTAAAACTGGATATCCAAATCATTTAAAAACGACGAAGAAGGGACAGAGTGCGGCATCGTCGTCTAGTTGGCCCCTCCTCCACCAGCTACCCAGGGCGTGTAGATATAAAGCCGGCACCGTAGCATTGTAACTCCGCCAGCGAACTTCTAACGAAGAACCTCTAGCGATGTGGCTGCTCCGTTCAAGAACCCCTGTCCCAGAAAAACAATGAGATTCCGAATCGGCGCAAGCCGGAGCTATGAGATTCCGAATTATGGACTTGATTTTTTGTGGGTATGGTGGTATGGGTGCTCGTCTACCGAGATGGGATGTTCTCCGGCTGCGGTTCCGCCATTTCTGTTGCAGACAAAAAGCAACGAGATCCCTCGGCCTAATGCTTCCTGCGACATGGTGCTTCTGTGAAAATACTTTGTCTTGGCGATTCAATTTTGTTTGTATTCCACTATACTACTCACAATAGATTTTAATGTATACGTGAATTTTACTTTAGATTCAATTTGGAAATTCCCCTATTTCTCACAATGATGGCTTGACGATTCATTATTTTTGTGTATTCCACTACACTCCAGAACTGTTTTTTTAATGTGGCCTGGTGATTCATTTTCAATGTGTACTTAAAGTGGCTTGGTAATTATGATGTCATTTGTTTGCTTATAAGAATTCACCAAATTGATAAATTTCACTCCACTACTCACTTTGTGATTTTATGAAATACAAAATAATACTACGAATTATTGTAAGAAAACATGTTAATATCATAAAAAACTTGTAATGTAAAGATTGTGACAATGTCAACATTGTCTCTATAGACATTGTCAAAACAACAATGTCACAATATTGTAGACATTGCTTTTACAAAAATGTCCAATCTTCTTTCTCTTATTTTTTGCTGCTATTTTTTTCCCTTCGTGTGAAATTGCAGATGCGGAGATCTATGTTGCAGATCTATTTGGTTTCTTCTTCTTTTGATTTTCCTTTATGTTTTTTGTTGTTTCGACTTTCCCTTTGTTGTTTCTCTGAATTCTCATTTAGTTTTCTTTTACTCTTTTTGTTCTTCCAACTTTTTCAGTTTTCTTTTGCCGGCCATATAGTAGTGAATTGTAGAGTTGTTTATACTTAATAAAATGAGTAACATTGTTTATACAATGTTACTAAAGATAGAAGTAATTTTTTATTAATAATAAAATGATAAACAATGTTACATAACTAGTGTCATGGAATTACAATGACATATCTTGACACAATGGCAATGTCATAAATATATCAATGGATAAAAATGTCACCGGGTTAAGAAAATGTCACAATGACAATGTCATTGTTGATGCTATAAAATGACATTGTAATTATGACAATGTCAATAACTATTATGACAATGTTAATTTTATTAAAAAAAGTCACAACCTCTAAAAAATGTTGTACTGTCAATTAATGACGATGACAATGTCATAAAAATGTCATAGAAATGTCAATGATAATGTCATAAAGAATGTCAATGATAATGTCATAGGAATGTCAATCATTATGAAAATGACATTGTTAAAACTAATGCCAAAGCTATACAATATAATTTTTATTTTCAGCATGTGCAACGTTTGCCAGACAAAGCCAATTCATCACTTTATACTTTATATTTATTTTCCCTTGACTCTTAAAATATAATTATGAGAATGTCATGACAATGAGAATTATATAAAAAAATGACATTGTCTATTTTCAATAAGTTGTCATTATTAAAATTATGACAATGTATTTATATTAATCTTTTATCAACAATGCATCATGTGATAATGTTGATATCATTGTATAGTTATATATATCAATTTATATTGAAATGTGACAGAATGATATTTGAATAAAATACAAGTGAAAATCCAAATCTGATAAATTTGATTCCAGATCAACATTAAAAAGGTAGATCCCTAAAAAAAATACAATAATTTGAAAAATAAAAATTAAGAAAAACAAAAATTCAAAAGTTATTACATAATATACAACTTAAATTCCGTAGAAAGGGATAGTGGCAGCCTCCACAATCAAAAGGAGAGGCATTATAGAAGGGGAGAAGTGACGTGCACTTGTCGTGAGGTGCACTCAAAATAAATACAATACAACTAATATACGTAGTATATTGAAGTAAGGTTCGTATCCGCAGGGAAAGGAATACTTCTCTTTTTTATAAACTAGTAAATATAAAGGGGGGTTTTGATTGAATAATTCAATTAAAATTGAACACGAAGATGAACGAGTTATGTGGTTTAATTGATGAGAAGAAGACTTGGCTTTGCTTTTATCCACTTAATGAAATGTTCGTCGATCCCGGTTATATCTTTAACTATCTTCCTCTCGAATACTCAATCGAGGAGTATATCCAGTTCATCGAGGGTAGTTATTAATAACGAGATGCGTTCATTAATAAAACTTACTATCGAATCAATATAGGACAAGCGCCGTATATTAAATTGATAGTAGCAATAAACTTAAGATGAAAACGATTGAGATTGATAACCTCAACACAAGCGGTTTATTGGTTTAATCAATATAATTAATTCCCCTTAGATTATTAACCATGAGAAGCATGCATTAGCAATCCAAGTTTACTACCATTGAAAGAACCGAATTAATAACAAGCGTATTAACCGATTGATTCTAGTAATAATTAATATATAGAGCAAGACTAGTTTATACTTTAAGTAATGCTCAATATATTAATATGGGATATGAATAGGAAGTAATTAATATTCAAGGAAGAAGATTAAAGAAGATAACTCACAACTTACAAATCATTAAGCTTCAAAGTAGCAAAACCAAGAGGGAAGAGTTTAGCTCCTCATTTGGAGACTAAACATGATAAAAATATAAAGAAAGAACTTGTCTAAACTGAGCTTAGAAGTATATAAGAATTGGGTGTCCTCCTTGTGGAGGAAATGGGGTGTATTTATAGGCTTTTTAGGCCTGCAGGGTCGTGTACCCGATCGAGTTTTTAGCTCAATCCGATCGGGTAAGGGTTAGTTTCCTCGAAACTGAAATTCTGGGGTCATACCCGATCGGGTATGTCGGCTACCCGATCGGGTATGGATACGCGATCGAGTTAGAAAATCCTCCTGCATGTTGCCTTGTTCCCGGATTTATCCGATTTGACTTTTCAGCAACTTACCCGATCGAGTATAGGGCATACTCGACCGGGTACACTACCAAAAATCAGAATCTTCATCTTTTCTTGAAATCTTTGCACTTTCCTTCCAATTGTGATGTTCACCAATGGTCCCTAGAGTGGTCTTGGACCTGTTTGAGCTCAGAATCAACCTAATCTAAACAATTTAAAACTATTTTACAAACTAAACTTTTACACCAAAAGTGTGTAATTTCTAGAGTAACAATCACTCAAAACTAATCAAAAACACAATTATAAATACGGAAATAACATGAATGTCAACTCCCCCACACTTAGTTCCTTTACTCGACCTCGAGTAAAACCAAATGTTTATACAATGTTTATCACAAGATCATGAGTTCATAGAGAGGAAGAAATAAGAAACTAAAACCACCAAGTATAGTGAATGAAGTTACAAAACAACATTTCCTTGGGTTTAACGGTCTTCTATGCTTCCTATTTCTTCTTTTTCTTGTCTTCTCTCCTTCTTCTTCTTCTTCCTCAAGAGATGGTGTCCTGCAAAATAGAACAAATTTTTCTCTCATATCTCTCATTTTGCCTAGGAGCCTTTTCAGGTTTTCATCCTAGCATCTCTTTTCTTTTCCTTCTCTTCCACTCACTCATTTTGTTTTTGTTTTTTTTTTTTTGT